AGGTGAGATAATCTACAACATTCTAAAACAATCCATAACATTCAAAACAAAACAACTTTAAAAAAAAATCAATTTTCCCTCTCTCCCAGTGCTAATGGATCATTTTTTAAAAATCCAGAATACAGATCTGGATCTACTTCTTGACCAAAAACTTAATTAGTACTTCCTTGTGCCATACTCTATCTGTGTGCTAAATGTAATTGAACTGTCCATTATATTGGGATATAGTATGTATTTACAAACAGACTAACAAACAGATGAAAAATTATTTTTGCCGGTATCAGTGGCAGATGTAATCAGGCATAGAAATAGGAATAAAGGCTGGGGTCAAAGTCCTGTCCCGTAATTGCAAGATTGGAAGGCAGGATGGTGGTTGCAGGTTTACCAGTGGCAAAGTGAGAAGAAGATATGCTAACTGGAAGGAAAGCTGGAAGTGAGAATATTGAATAGGATTGAAGAGTGATAGTGTGTCAATCGTCCATTGTGTCTGCAAAATGCAATGACAATGGACTGATAAAGGGGGTGAAATGTTATCAGGGTGGGTGGGACTATAGATGTGAGGTTATAATTGAATCATCAATGAGCTTATTGAATGGCACAGCAAACCTGAGGGATTTCTATTCCTAATTTATTGTCTGGATGTGCATATTCCACAAATACCCACTCCCTCCATCAATGCTCTGTAGCAGCAGTATGTTCTATCTACAAGATGCACTGCAGAAATTCACCAAAGATCCTCAGACAGCACCTTCCAAACCCACGATCACTTTCATCTCAAAGAAGAAGGATAACAGCACAAGGGAACACCACTACTTGTAAGTTTCCCCTCTTATCCACTCACCATTCTGACTTGGAAACATAACGCTGTTCTTTCACTGCCACTGGGACAAAATCCTGGAATTCCCTCCCTAAGGGCATTGTGGGTCAATCTACAGCACGTGGACTGCAGTGGTTCAAGAAGGCAGCTGACTACCACCTTCTCAAGGAGTAACTAGGGTCGGACAATAAAACCAGCGGCTCCCACATCCCACGAGTGAATAAAAAACAATAGCAAAAGTAGACAATGTAAAGGTAAAAAGCAGACAGTGAAATTGACAATCTGAAACACAAGTCTTATGGTTTTTAGGCTAAGTCCAAGTTGTGTCATGTTTTATGGAGGGATTGTCACCGTGAGGCCTAATGATTTTACTGCAAGGCCTGGTGACAAGGCAGCCTGCTTGATTAACAGCCCATCTGTTATCCTTCAACATGCACTCCCTTTATCACTGATCTACAATTGCAGCAATGTTTACCATTTACAAGATGAATTTTAGTAAATCACATGGGCTCGTCTAACGACACCTTCCAAACCCTTGACCTCTACTGCTTAAAAGGACAAGGGTGGCAGATACATGGGAACACCGCCATCTGCAAGTTTCCCTCCAAACCACTCACTATCCTGACTTGAGTCCATATCACCATTCCTTCACTGGGTTATAATCTTGGACCTCCATTCACAACTGCATAGTGGCTATCCATAAAACCCAAGGACTGCAGCAGTTCAAGAAAGTCGCTCACCACCACCTTCTCCAGGGATTGGCAGTAAGTGCCAGCTTAGCCAGCGATGCCAACATCCCATGAAAAAATAATAGAAGACAATAGGGCAGATGACCAAAAGTTTGGTCAAAGATATAGGTTTATCCTTCAGCAATAAGTGCTTCATTTTAATGGAATTGGATAAAACATTTGAATTGTAAGATGATCTATGTTCTTTGCTAGGGGACTTGGTAGTGCAAGCTTTATACTTCTACCTATGATCCCAAAGGTCTGTGTTCAAGTCCGTTGAAAGTCTGTCATTTTTTCAAAAGTTTATTCACGGGATGTAGGCATAACTGGCTGGGCCAGCATTTATTGTCCATCCCTAATTCCCCAGAGGGCAGTTAAGAGTCAACCACATTGCTGTGGGTCTGGAGTCACATGTAGGCCAGACCAGGTAAGGATGGCAGATTCCTGCCCCAAAGAACATTAGCAAACCAGGTGGGCTTTTACAACAATCAACAATGGATTTGTGGTCATCATTAGACTCTTATTTCCAGATTTTTATTGAATTGAAATTCCACCATCTGCTGTGGCAGGATTTGAATCCTAGTCCCCAGGATATAACCAGGGTCCCCGGGTTAACAGTCTAGTGATAATACCACTAGGCCATTGCGTCCTCATAACTTGCCCAAACAGGTTGATTAAAAATAATTTTATGTCCTTCTTCTAAAATGTCTCAAATTCTACCCAGATAATTGTCAAAACTGATTGTGATAGCAATTTGTGATGCTGTTCGAAGAGATATCGATTTAATATTCTAAAGGATCCAGCTCATTATGCAAATATGATTGATCTTAAATTCTCAAAGAAAAATAAAATGCAAGTAAATCTAAAAGGAATCTTTTCTGCTAAAGAACTGTATATACTTTTTAAAGCACAATATAGTTTAGTTTAAATATAATAAATACTTATTGAGTCATAGAAAGAATAAAATCCCTACAGTGTGGAAAAAGGCCATTTGGCCCATCAACCCTCCAAAGAGCATCCCACCCAGACATAGCCCCCCATCCTATCCCTTAACACCGCATTTACCATGGACACTTTAGCATGGCCAATCCACCTAACCAGCACATTTTAAAGTCTCCAAACATGACACCAACTTACATCCAACGCATCCCATTTCCAATTTCAACAATGGTTGTTTCTTTGAGGTGAAAAGGGAAGGAGGTGTTCTGTGCAACTAATGTTCAACTCCCTCTTTGATCCCAACTCTCCTTAATTCTGCAATGTCTAAGAGCCCCCACCCTGAAATCTCCAACATTCTCCCCACCCTGAAATCTCTAACACAACACTCACCCAAAACATGCCACCTCCCACCCTGAAATTCTGACACCTCCCATACTGAGAACCGATATTTCCCACATTGTCATCCCCAAAGATTATCAACCTAAATTCACTGACCCTTATCCCCACCCTGAATCTACAACCCTCACTCCCAACATCCAACCTGCAATCTCCAACATCCCCCACCCTAACTCTCTGACACCCATCCCATACTGCAATCACCAAACATTACTCCCCACCCCACCCTGTAATCTCCAACACCTCCCTGTCTAAATCTTTCACATTCCCATCATCCTAAATCAACATCCTCCAATGACCCCTGACTCACCCATCTCACGAAAATTCCAACGCCAAGCTCCACAATCTCTGAGTGTGGAACCTGCACAACCACCAACATCTCTAACTATTCACCATCCCCAACCTGACAGTACAGAACATGCAATCCAGTTCACATTCTATTCACTAACTGTCTGCCAATCTGGGATGTCTCAGTACAATCACATGATATTATGCACATTGTACATTTCAACTTTTAAAAGACACTTATATAAGTACATGAATAGGAAAGGTTTGGAGGGATATGGGAGCAGGAGGTGGGACTAATTTAGTTTGGGATTATGTTCAGCACAGACTGGTTGGACTGAAAGGTCTGTTTCCATGCTGTATGACTCTATGACTCTATGATATGTACAAAATACATTCCATGACAGAGTTACTGTCCCAAGGGGCTTTACACAGTTGTCACCCCAGTTGATATACTATGGCAGATGTAACTGGGACAGTATCCTTTTCCCTCCTAAGCCTTTGCATAGCCTTAGAATATGCTCCAGCACGTTGTCCCAGACTTAGGACTGTGTGAATCTGCAAACCCTCGATCATGGACAGTCCTTTCTGCTGGAAGACTAACACATTTTGAGGAAACTAACAAGGATCTTTCATTTTGTTGATGCCCCTCTCCAGCATTCCCATGGATTGTCTGCTTGGAAATCCTTCCCGAAACCACTCTATATATGGTTCTGAATCAGTATTAGAGCCACAGACTCCCTTGATAATTAGACTCCCTTGATAGTTAGGCAACCCTGTAAAAATAGCACTCAGTGCGGTTCTAGTGCAATCAATTCACCTAGCTTTTCCTCAAAGCCAGGGGTTAGTTCTGAGTTCCAGATATAATTTTTGTGCTATCTCTTGGAGCTGCCACTTGAAACTGTAGGATAGTACCTCTAAATGTATATGGTTTGGTATCCAAACTTAATTCTTTCTTAGTATCTCCCTCTGACTCAAAATCATTCTGTTATATAAATATACATGAACAGTCTTGAAGCTGGAAATCTATATTCATGGAACAACATGGCCTCTGGATCTGTACTTCTGTGTTTTTAAGTTCAAAATCTTGCTGTGCACTCTGATCAAGTAGGAGAAAAAGTTACACAGGTGAAAGCTCTCTTGCTGCAAAATTTAAAATGGAAGGCCATAAGTGATGAAGTGAGAAAGTTTAAGAAATCAGGCAAGTTTAATACTGATTCCATTGTACCCTTTAAGGTACTGTTTGATCCACCTGCTTATCTTAAAAGGGGAAGGAAATTCAAGTAGGATTTATTTTCCATTCAACGTATTTCCCAATTTTCTGTATTGACAAAGATACTATATTTCAGTTTTACTTTATTCTAGCTTTGTAATGGTCTAAATACTTGATTTCTGAATTTTCTGTATTAACAAAGACACTATATTTCAGTTTTACTTTATTCTAGCTTTGCAATGGTCTAAATACTTGATTTCTGAAAGTGCCATTTTTAATGTGTTGCTGAACTTTGTTTTAGCAGTATTACTTCTGCCCATTTCCCCCTACTCCAGCTCTGCTGCTGCTACCTTCTCATTGGGGAACCATTCTCATGATCTCAATTAACAGACATTTCTCACTCAGCAGTGAACCTTAGGCTAATCACAAAAGGGAATGATGCAGGAAAACCCTGGTCATTTATTTCTCTCACTTTCATGTCCAATACCAGCAACAACGATAATTATTGGTAACAAAGTAGCAAAGCGATCACACCGCGTAATCTGCCAATTTTATGACCATAACTTCAGTGGGCTATTCAAATATAATTGGTTTAATTTTTGCTTTTCTATGTTGTTTACAGGATAGTGACCTGATGACCTTTAATATCTCCATGCACCGGTCATGGTGGAGGGAACATGGACCAGGTTGTGTGCGGAAGGAATTGACTGCAGCAACCAGTAAAAGCCTGGATGATCGCACTTATATCTCAGTGACAGGCTGCATTGTTGACTTCCAGTATCTTGAGGTTATTCACAGCTCCATCCAAATACTACTGTCAGTAAGTAGATTCATGATGTGTGATGGGACTCCATTCCTGCCTCAGTTCATGTGTGGATGCTAACTGTTTTTGTATCTCTACACTTGGCTTTTCCTATGCTCTCCTGGCCACCCACCATAAACTGGACTCAATTCAAACCTCTGCTGTTCTTATCCTAAACTGCCGCAAATATTATTCAACCATCATCCCTACGCTCAATGGCTGGCGTTGGCTCCTAATCTGGCAACCTCTCAATTTCGAAATATTGTTTAATTATTCCATGGTTTCATCCCTCCCTACCTCTCTGTGTAATGTTCACCAGCCTTACAACTGTTAACATTTAACTTTATTTCTTTATTTTTATAATTATACTAAGAACAATGACAATGCTTTACTTTTAACTTTGTTTCTCTAAGTTACTACTTGTACCTAAGGTTTTGTATCTAGATACCTTCATACCTAGGATGATGCGTGCCTGGTGACATTGTACAGTTTTCACTGTACTCCTGTACTTCTGTACTTGAGTACATTTGATAATAAATCAAACCAAATCAAATCAAATCAAATCAAATCTACTCTCTGAGATCTCCATACTTGTTCAACTGTGACCTCTTCTGCATTTGTTTTTTTTATTCACTTGTGGGATGTAAACGTTGCTGGCTGGGCCAGCATTTATTGCCCATCCCTAGTTGCCCTTGAGAAGGTGGTGGTGAGCTGCCTTCTTGAATTGATGCAGCCCAGGCTGTATGTTGACCCACAATACCCTTAGGGAGGGAATTCCAGGATTTTGACCTAGCCTCAGTGAAGGAACGGCAATATGTTTCCAAGTCAGGATGGTGAGTGGCTTGGCGGGGCACTTGCAGGGTGTGGCGCTCCCATGTATCTGCTGTTCTTGTCTTTTGAGCTTTCAATTGCTCGTATCCCTTCGACGTCCCTCTTGCCTCCTCTAAGTTACTCCTTAAAAGCATTTTGACTAGCTATTGGTCATTTGCCTTAATATCTCTTCACATACAGTGTCAAAAGTTGTTTGATCAGTAATCTCCTATATTTTACTGTGTAATATATAAATGCTTGTTTTTGTTGTTGAAAGCATCTCTGTTACACCAGTCTGTACCTATGCACCAAATAAACTCTCCGCACATGTATCCAGTGTCCAAAGGTAGTTCACTTCCCTGGGAAATATCATATTTTACACTAAAGTAGATAATAATGTCTCATTCTGAACATGTTTTTACCCGATACTTTTTTAAAAATTTTGTATAAATCTATACCATAAGCAGTAGTTTTCTCACCTCTGGGTCTAGGACACTGATGAGTGGAATTACTTGTTACAAATTCTGAGGATTGTCTTAGAACATAGAACAGTGCAGCACAGGAATGGACCCTTCTGCCCACAATGTTGCGCCAAACATGACACCAAATGAAACTAATCCCTTCTGCCTGCCCTTGGTTCGTATCCCTCCATCCCTTGCATATTCATGTACTTATCTAAAAGTCCCTTAAACAACCCTATCGTATTGCATTTCCAAGTCAGGATGGTGTGGGGCTTACAAGGGAACTTGCAGCTGGTGGTGTTCCCACATACCTGGTGCTGTCAAAGGAGGCTTGATAAATTACTGCAGTGAATTTTCTTAAATGGTGTACACACTTGCCATGAGACACTGGTGATGGAGGGGCTACTTGTTTAAGATGGTGGAAGGGATGATGAACACTCTGCTTGAGTGATGTTGTAGCCATATAATAGAATCATAGTATTATAGAATCCCTACAGTGTGGAAGCAGGCCATTCAGCCCATCAAGTCCTCACCACCCAGCCAAAGAGCATCCCACCCAGATCCAACCCCCTACCCTATCCCTGTGACCCTATATTTCCCATGGCTAACCCAGCTAGCCTGCACATCCCTGGACACTATGGGCAAATTAGCATGGCCGATCCAACTAACCTGCACATATTTGGACTGCGGGAGGAAACTGGAGCACCTGAAAGAAACCTACACAGACACAGGGAGAATGTGCAAACTCCACACAGTGCCAGCTCCACCTCCACATATTAATCAGGGCAGTTGGAGAGTAGACGTCAGCCTCCTGACTTGTGCTTTGTAGGTGATGGTCAGGCTTTGGAGAGTCAGCAGGTGAGTTACTCGGTACAGAATCCCCAGCATATGGCCTGCTCTTCTAACCACAGAATTCATATCGTTGATCCAGTTCAGTTTGCAGGATATTGCTGGTAGGAGATTCAGCAGTAATCATGCTATTGAATGTCGATGGGGGGGAAACTCATCGCCTGACTCTTGTTTGGAATGAATGTTAATTGCCATTTCTCAATCCAAGCCTGAATGTTGTCGAGCTACATATGCATATAGAACGCTTTCAATATCTGAGGAGCTGTGAGCAGTGCAATGCATTGTGCAATCATCAGTAAATATCCCCTTTCTGACATTATAGTGGATGGAAGGTCAATGATGTTGAAGATGGGGATGTTAGACCTAAGTTAATGTATTTCTGCATCACTGCTCTTATGGTACTGTGGTAGTGTCCCTACCCCTGGAAACCCAGAGAAGTTTGGGTTTAAATCCGATTGCCCAAAACATGTGTCTGAACTATATTGCTGCACCACTATTTCCGGTGTGTGAGAGACTGGAGTAAACATCTTTTATTTAATGCCTTAAAACTATAGCTTCACAACAAAAAAGATTGTAGATACTTTCAACATATTCTCATTCCAACGCAGAAAGAATTTGCACGTACAAACTTTCATACAAGTGGAATATGATTGGGCATTTACATCCTGCAAAAGATTTTGCTATTTTCCATTTTCAAAAAAGCTTCCAGGTTTGACCTGCTCTAATCTGTCAGTTTTATGCAACACAACTGAGGCAAAAGCAAACATAATTTTCTGTCAGTATCCACCAAGTCCAAGCATTTATGCACAAATAAAATGATACAAAGCCATTATGCAAATTGAGCAGCATTTATATACCTAAATACTAAAGTGGATGTAACATTTACTTGCTGCCCATGATTATTTATAATGAACATGAGAACAATAGCACAATAGCAAACAAAAACCGAAAGAACAGTGGACGCTGTAAATCAGGAACAAAAGCAGAAGTTGCTGGAAAAGCTCAGCAGGTCTGCAGCATCTGTGAAGAAAAAAATCAGAGTTAATGTTCCAGGTCCGGTGACCCGTCCTCAGCGCAATAGCAACTCTGGATATTAAATTATGCTCATGTACAATTTATTGGTTTGGTTGTGGGTGGTCAAATGGACTGCCTCAATGTATCCATTCAGAATTTGTTGAGCACAGAAGAAATGGTTGCTGAATTATTTTAGTTAAACGACATACTTAAAAAAATACTACTGGTGAATACAGTTGTCAGCTCACAAAAAATCCTTAAGTGCTAAATAAACACAAGCAAGGAATACAGCTTGTGTCTAGCAAATTGCTTAAACTGCTTACTGATCCTGAGAAACTGTTACAAAGTGCAAGACAATGTTGTAGAGTGAACAGACCATCACAACTCAGTAATTATAATAATTCACACATCATTACGGAGGTATACTGGTACTGGCTCAGTTCAAACTGCAGAGTTTGGCATCCTATGTTTCCATTGATCACAAACAAGATTTATGCTGTTGGTTTAAATGATATTTGTTTTAATGATTAAAGGTAAAACAAAATCGATATGACGTAAAACTAAACTAACATTAAAGACTTATACTTAATTTCCATGAAAAATCCAGTAGAACTTACTGACAATAAATAAAGTATTCTGGCAACAAAAACAGAAATCGCTGGAGAAACGCAGAAGGTCTTGCAGCATCTGTGGAGAGAAAGCAGAGTTAGTGGTTAGTTTCTCCAGCGATTTCTGTTTTTGTTTCAGATTTCCAGTATCTGCATTTCTTTGTTACAATTTGAGTATTCTGTTAATCTATGTTTGCTATTGGCAAATGAATACTCCTTCTGTTACTATTAAGATTACGAAGACAGTTTTGGGCAGTTTCTAAAACACCCTGGAACAACTACAGAGGATATACAGCTCAGAAACAGACCATTTGGCCCAGCCAGTCCATGCTAAATGTTTATACTCCATTCAAGTCTCCTGCCATCTTTTCAAATCTAAATCTACCTTCATAACTAAGTATTCACTTCTCCATCATTTGCTTGTCCAGTTTCACCTCACTACGATCCATACTATTTGCTTCAACTGCTGCCTCTGGCAATGAATCCAACTTTCCTATCAATTTTTTGGATGAAGATAATCTTTCTGAATTCCCCACAGGAGTTTCTGATGGCTATCTTATTTGATGGTCTCTAGTTACACTGTTTCCCACTAGAATAAACATTCTTACTGTATACAGGATGTTACAACATTTTAGACTTTTAAATACCTCTATCAGACCACCCCTCTGCCTTTTCGTTTCCATGTAGAAAAGCCCTGTAATAACTCTATAGCACCCCAAAGACTGGAGCAGATCACAGCAAGCAAGGTACTGACTGCACCCAGCCAGGCCATGCTTGCAAAATTCAAAACAGTATCCAACGTTTGACAACAGGGCAATAATCCTGAATGTGCCAAGAAATATGCTAACAACCAATTTAGGATTGTCAATCAGACAGACTCACAGCATAGCGCACTTGCATGTACCAGAAGCTAGACAGATTAATACACAGAGATAGTAAGCACTGCTGATGCTGGAGCCAGAGGTAACACAGTGTGGAGCTGGAGGAACACAGCAGGCCAGGCAGCATTAGAGGAGCAGGAAAGCTGACGTTTCGGGTCGGGACCCTTCTTCAGAAAAAGCCTTGTTCTTCACAGACAGAAAGAACATGAGCAGGTATTATGCCCATTTTAACTTAAAGAGGCAACATACTTTCTCTGGTTCATTCCTCAGGACAATGCCTTGATCAATCAGAGTCACCCTTTGTGATTTAAACTTAATCAAGGCACGCCAGTTGACTGGCAGTTGTTATCTAACTGGTGCATTTTACTGGGGTCCCAGTCAGAGATAACCAATCA